TTTTTATCAAAAATAACATTTTTCACTCATAAGATATTAATAAAAGACGAATTCGGATAAAGTAATCTTCCGTTTTATAAAAAATGAGGATCACACGGTGTTTTATTGGACTCTGCACATTAAAACCTCGCTCCCTTCGGTCGCTCGGATTTGAAATGGACATCGTCCTTTACAGCATCCATAAAACACCTAGTTATCACAGCTATAAATCTATACTGTGCAAAATTGCCATCTCTTAAAGTAGTAGGTACTGCTTTACTTGTCATTATGAAAACGAGGGCACACATTTTATTTGCACGATGACTGCATATACAGAGTGGTTAATAAAGATGGAACCAATGCGCTGGTGTGAAAACGGTTGGAGATATCGGCTTGAAAGTTTTAGGACTTAAATAAGATGTGTTTGTGCGTATTCTAGCATGAAAAGGAAATTTTGTTTTGTATGGATTTTTGACACGGCCGCCATTTTGTTTTCTTAAAATGGCAACATAGGTTTTGCAACACATCGTTGGAAAGCTTATTTTACCTTCATTACGAATATGTAATAAGAAAAATCTGTGGTAATATTAATCTTAAAGGTGTGCTCGTCTGATCTAATTTAGTGAAAATGGTACAAATGTTACAAAAGTGCTAGTCGTGTAAAAATTGAGCAACATTGCCTTTGACTGCCCTACAGATACATTTTATCCGTAGTTTCATGAAACTTTTCTAGCATAACACTCAAGTAACCGAGTTAAGCAGTTTATTTCACCGATAGAGTGAATTAGTGTTACGGATAACAAGTTAACTCTGCACGTGACGAACGCGTAAAGTGGAATTAAGAACTAAAAGCAGTAGGAAAAATCAGCACAATGGAAACTCTTCCGAACAAATCCAAGTAACCATAAAAATGAAGCTTCTAACGTTCCTTGATGGCACATCAAATACTAGACTTGTGTCAGTTTCAGACATATTTGTATTTACTTGAGTGTTTATAGAGTTTTAAATGTCTCGACATCGTGCTAAATCTGAAACAAACACAAACATTTGTATGTTAATCCACCACTTCGTTATACTGTAAGAGGGCGTATTTTGGCGAGAGTACAGTTTTATTTATGTTTTTCAAACATATGTTTGGAAATAAAGGCATATTTCGATAAATAAAGTTTCAGTGTAATTTACGTTGCATAACATTTATTAGGCGAGACCCGACCAAATTATGCATGAAGATTAATTTTCGCTCGGATCTTGAAATTTAAATTATGTAGCAAAGAAATTTAAGCCGAAATTTTAATTAAAGTGCAAATATGTTTGTTGTTTACGCAAGTAAGCGTATATTACCAATCTGGGCGATAATTACCAGTATTTATTTATGAGAAATGTTTTCATAGAATACACATTTATCTTTTTAATTGAATGCTAACAAAATCGGCAAGTACGCCATTAAAATTTTAGTAGGTCATAAAATATTAAATAATCTTCGTTGTTGTGTAGTACCTATACAGACGGAGTCTTATCTCTGAGTATTTTTACTTCATCCAAGATTATGGTAAAAGTAAGTGATACTTCCGATCGGATAAAAACATTATAATTCATGAAATGTATAAAACGTGTAGTGTGGATTAGTCCAGGTAACGAATGAAAATGCTCGGTATGATTGGAAGCGGAATGTTTGACTTCAGAACCTTGTTTGGACCCCTTCGGAGGTAACCATACTCAAACTCCCCGGGATTTCCACTGGAGCCTTCCTGGGGGAGGGGCGCAAAGGTCAACATTTTCGGTTTTTCTTGAAAACGGTGCCTTGTAGGAAAAAAATTGTTTATTATCAAAATGAAGGCACATAAAATAATCAACCATTTTGGTTATACACTTTTTCGAAATCCCCAACCGTTTCCGAGATATAAGCTCCGGAAATTCGGAAATATTCCTTTTCGAAAATATAGCTCCTTCCCAAATTATCGTTAACCGGTCAAAAGTTACAGCATTTTTAAAATTTCCTGAAATGTTTTATCATGTTTTATATGCAACGATTTCAAGGATTTCTCATCTACACTCTTACTATTTATCCATTTTAACTTCTATTTCTGATATAAGGACACTAAATAGCCATCCAAGTTGGGAATATATCCACCAAAAATCTAGTTTAATAATTATTGCGTGATTAAATATTACGTAGGTAATAGAATATTGGCAAAGAAAGTTGTAAAAAAGTGTAGGTTCCAATAATGGACTTCATGCATTTATCTGTGTCATGAGTAGTGGACGTGGATTTTTTGAGTCTTTTCTGGCGGGATGGAGCGGGCTGTTCTTCCTCGAGTGGAGCGTCTTCCGGTTCAGATGGAGGTAAAACCTACACGATTTCGACATCGTCTATGTCCTCTTCGCCCTCTTCCTCTTCCGGGAGAGGTATTCCAGTCAAAAAAATTCCATGCCACTTATGACAGATGGTTCCGCAACGCATGGAGCTCTTCTTGCCCCTTATCTCGCAGAACTGCAGTCTGTCGTATACATCTGCAGAAAATACAGGGGGTTATTCCTTCAGGTGCAGCTGGATCCGTTGTACGGACTGGTACCAGGTGGTTGTTGTGATCTTTCCCAGCCCTATTGCTCGGGGGAGAGGTCGTTCACCAGCCACTGCTGGAACTGGTACACTCAAACGCTGTGTGCCGTTTCCTCGGATCGTGGGAGGGGCTTCACCGCGTACACAGATTTCAGGAAGCATTCATGGCGATAGCTATTAAGGGACGACTCCTTCTGCTTTGCTGAGTGGCTTCATGGGTGGAGATGGGGTTTCAAAAGACGGCTACTGATTCACGGATGTCTGCATGCTTTTGAAGCATTTTACAAAAGGCCACTTTACTCCTAAATGCTGCCGATATGGAGAATGCATGAAGGAAAAGAATCCCTCCTAGGTCGAGTTTGTGCATATCTTGAGTGGAGTATCAGGTGGTTGGAATTCTTCCATGGCTGGGTTTGACAAAAGCTATGTCGCGCTCGGGTGTAGTTTTGACCATGAAGAGGACTGCTAAATGAATATCTTCTCCAATTAGAGCGACTGGAGATACTTGAGACTTCAGCATTGCCTCAGAGATCTCTAAAAATAACCACCGGCCTGTCACAGAGAGTTCTGTTTTGTGGCAATAGTCCTTTTGTTGCTGTTCGCAATTCTTGCATTGAGAACTGGCCCTCACTGTTACCTTCCATGTATTCGCATATATCACTTATAGCTTGAACATAGAGATCAGAGGTATCGCCTTCACCTGAAGGTTTGTATAATGACTGGAAAAATGATTTGCGACAATCTTCCTGGTATTTGGCTACCTCTGCATCCAAATCATTAATTGACTGCAAACGACAGACGACCTCAGGGCCCCATTCATTTTGTCTTGCATCCCCTGCCTCAATACATAATATGAAGCCATTGGGACGATGAAGGGCAATCTTATTTCACAAAAACACTTGGAAATACTTGATCGTGAAACACCAATTAACTAATCATAGCTGCCAGCTGCTAACAACACCTAGATGCCAGTTGTGTCATACCAATATGGCAGATCTGCTGTCGCGCGGTAACTGTCGTGTCCCCCCCCCCCCCTTTATATTTTACCACCATGGTTCAGAGCCCCCTTTCAGTGATATACGTAATCGTCCAATAATTATATTGTAAATGATTTAGTACCTCAGATTTAACTCGTATAGGGTGAGAATTAAGCAAACGAATTAACTATTAAATACGGCCGTCTGCGTTAATAAGAAACCATTTTGTAGGCGTTCTTTAATTAATAAGGAATAGGGAACAATTTTGAGGATTGGTGATTTAGCACTTAGCGAGTTCAGTGCGTGATCCTTAGAGAAAATTAAAACTAATATATTCGCGGCGGTTTATTTTTCGCTAGCAAAATTCAGATGTGTCGCCGTTAGTGACCAAAAGGGGATTAAACTTAATTGTTGAAATACGTAACTCTGAAATTAGTACAAGCGGTGGCTGTTGAAAAAACAATAACCGAATTATAGAGTGAAAAAACGTTTGGTGGTGTTCACACTCATTTCAAAAATCCGTTAATAATAAGCATTTCCGCGGTTTGCATGCTTGCAATTTATGAATACGAGGATTAACTACACCCTCGAATTTTTTATTTTGCTGGAGGATTTTTTCCACTTGCTGTTCTAGGATTTATTTTCTCCGTATCATTGTAAGGAGGACATTCCGAACTTGTTATTGTGCTAGCAGTATTTACAGTTACGAGATCATTCGCTGTACAGTGATAACCATTTTGTCATTGTGAAATCAGGGGTTAAATACCTGTAAGAAAAATTGTCATAATGTTTGAAAAATTGGTTAAAGTAAGACTTGCATCTCCGGTTTCTTAGATATATAAACCGTTAGGAAAATTTGAAGATTTTTGTATTGAAAATTGGGTTTGATAAAAAAATCAGTTTATCGTTTAAAGTTGATTTGTTCCAAGTTCAGGGTAGGAAATCCCAAATTCATGGGTCCAATATATACAACTACCTCTAATTTTTGTTCCAATCAATACTGGGTATTTTAGCAAAATATATTTTTACCTCTATCAGACCGGTTTCCCGATAATTCTATTGCAGAAATCTCACACCAGTTGAGCCACATAGGGAAACTTCTACACGTGCATGCGTTGGTTATGGAGGTGGGGTTGTAGATTTTAAATAGTGCGCCATTTTAATTGAACACAGTGAGACAACAGATAGGTAACTAACCAAACGGTACAATTTGAGGGGTTTGATATTTTTTGTCAACTTTCCGAAAAGTGGTTTATTTGGGGGTAAAAATTTTAGTTGGAACCTATAATCTTACGAAACAAATGGTCTGTAGCTTTTTGTGTTCCTATTCCGATTTACTACTTGCTCATTAACACTTTTATCACATAATTTTTCTAGTATAGGCTTTCCGTATCAGCAATAAATTAAAATGAACTGTATTAATTTAGCATGCATATCCTTCTAAATTAACTTGCAGAAAGTTTCCAAAAGGAAGATGTACTTACCTATCTATGGAAATTGCTACTAAGTTAAAAATGGAGGACGTTGAACACGTGACATCCATCGCTATATAAAAATCACAAACGAAGCTGGGCAAACTCCATGCTCCATTCACCTGAAACGAAAAAAATACAATTAACGCTAAAAACTTTAATTAGGAGCTTAGTTCTGTGATAAAGGCCGCGATTATTTGTAAATGTTCTTCCTAGGGCATGCGATTTCTAGACCTAGACCTTTCAGATACGAACAGCGATAAAGGAGAAAATCATTCAGATAAATTCTATAAAGATACAATCACTTTTGTGGCAAGTTTGTGTAATGGCTTCTGTAATTGGAAATATATAACGCTATGTGAACGACATTACGTCTAAAAGAATTTATGTTGCTTTACTTTATAGTCGTAATACGATTCCAACAACTTCAACATCAAACGGGCACCTTGTCGAATTTTAATTTCCGCACCTTGTGCCGAGCGAAGGTGAAATAAAAATGAAACAAGGTAGGTACTATAAATTGATACGACCACAAAAGATTGTTCCAAAGCAATAACTTTCAACATAATGCTCTCGATTGATTCATAACTTTTAAAGTTTGGTTGACAGTTTTGGTAGTAATTTATCATGGATATGTGGGAGGAACATGAATTATGGCAGGTTGCCGTCATTTCCCTCACACGTCTATCAACGCAATCGATACTTACAATTTAATTAATAATAATTCCGTGTGCTTGATTATAAAGCTTTGCTAGTTAACTCCACATAATTAAATGAATTAATAAGTCAAAAAGCGTACACAATTTTCAGGTACCTATGTGTGTAGATGAGAGAGTGATAATTGCGGATTTAACTGAGAGTTTTATTTTATGAATGATGTTTTGGGATGACAATAAAGTTTCTCCTTGCAAACAATTGTTAAATGTTATAAAAACAACGTTAGCATACTCATTACTGCAACGGTAGTCTTGTAATATTGTCCAAACTTACATTTACCTTACTAAATTTTGTACGTAAAAGTTATCAATTAAATGATTAAATCTCGCTTCCTCTGTGTTGCCTTACTGCTGGTTGTGCAAAACTATTCTCTTGAAAAACCCATTCTCCTGATGCTTATATTATCGGACATTACAAGATCTCATTCATACCTATAAGCAATAAGCATCTAAATTGCTAGAAAGCGCAATGAAAATGCAAATCAGGATGTTTTAAATGAAAATGACATTCCAGTAAATAATTTGCAGACGGGTTTTAGGCGTGGGGTGGATCTCTAGTATTACATCATGCCATACAGCAGAAACGGCTATACCTGTATAACACTTTGTGACACTTTTATGTGCGTAAAATGAACGTTTTCGGGATATTCCTTATCAAAGCTCCTTTTCGGACATCGAGAGCTTAAAGTATAAATCACTTTATAATCAAAGTTGGAAGGTACCTGTAAAGATTCTTTGAAGAACGTCAGAAGAAGAATAATTAATAATAATAATAATAAGCCATTTATTGGACATACTTCCACCTCAATAATATATAATTACAAAACAAAAAACAATTTAAAAAAAAAGAAGAAAAGGAGTGTCCAAAGGGACGAAGTTCAGTCTCAGGCGACTGTTCTACCACTTAATCCCAAGATGAGAGTAAATTACTGTCTGCTAATTAGGAAATGGCGTACATGTAGCTTAAAATGATCAGAGGCTAAGGTTTTAAACGAATCAGGTAACTCATTATAATACTTCGCAATATTATATGAAAAAGATCGCTTGTATAGCTGCGATTTATGGTTAGGTATAATGAGTAAACTTTTATTTCTTAAACAGAAATCATGAAGTTGTGATGAGAACTGTATTTTATTATAGAGATACGAGGGAGTTTTGGTAGTAATTATCTGGTGATATAAACATGCTGCATGTAGCCTTCTTCTGTTATACATGTTCAACCAATTCGTTTCCAACAACTTGTACTCAACTGATTCATACTTACGAATGCCAAAAATTAACCGTAAGCAAGAATTTTGTATTTTTTGAATCCTTTTTTCGGTAGCACTATCAAGACAGGGCCCATACACAGCATCACATAAATTAAATTGGGACAAAACTAGCGATTCACAAAGAAGCATTTTAGTTTTACTGTTTAAAAAGTTTCTTTGGTTATAAATTAGTTTAAGATTACAAATAGCTTTCTTTATTCACAAGGAAATGTGATCTGAAAATCTTAACTTAGAGTCCATCATCAATCCAAGATTTTTAGCGACATCCGAAATCTGAATATTGACACCTTTAACAACAATTGCATTTGAAATACGGCTAGCTACTCTTTGTTTAATTTTGTCTTTCCCAAAAAGCAAGACTGTAGTTGTGTTAGGATTGATGTTTAACCCATGCGATTTGGAAAATTCAACTAAACACTCCACATCTTTATTAATAGCATAGATTGCAGTGCCAATATCATTTTCGTGTGATGCAGTTGGGTGTCATCCGCGTATAAATTATATCTGCATTGTCGTAAACAGCTACCGAAATTACATGTATATATAGTATACAACAAGGGACCAAGAATTGATCCTTGGGGTACACCTCCTGTAATGGGAAGAAACATGGATGTAGCATTATTTAAAATAACTCTTTGCTGACGACAATGTAGGTAATTACCAATAAGTGCGATGGCCGCAGTATCCAATCCAACAAAATGCAAAATTGCTACAAGAGAATAATTAAAACGTGGTGAGGATAAGGTGCCACTATTCCACTCTTCTTTCATTTATAGCGGGAGAGTACAAGCGCTGTTGGCCAAGAGCGCTAACCATAATTTTTGCACAATCATATTCATTAAAATGAAAATTGTATCTCTGCATATATGATCCCTTTTTTGGGTATTATTAACGAGAGCATATAGGGTGGATTTTATATCTGGAACACTGAATATATCTTCAAAACTACAATTTTTCCAAAGAGATTTTTTCATGGTATGAACAATAAATCAATCATCGAAATAAAAGACTAAGGAAGGAGCATATGTATTATTAGCTAGTACTATTAGGTTTCTCAATATGGCGGACGCTCATACGCGCAGAGGCGTACACACATTTAATATATTTAATTTTTTGGATCTGTATCACAACCTGCAAAATGAATGAATGAAGACCATTTTTAGAAATATAACTTGGTTACTACCTATGAAATGTAATTTTTGTTTCTTCTGTAGCTTTTGACCTCGTTATATTACACGATTTACAGCTAACCAGCTAGAACTAGAAGATGCTACAAGTGCAATGGGTTCAGACATAAGGCAACTGACTGTAGCAAAACCACTACCTGTCCCAAATGTGCGAGAGACCATGATCTAGCGAGCTGTAAAGCTTCGGACGCAGAAATCAAATGCAGCAACTGTGCCAACGCCGTTGAGAAACTAAAAATGAAACTGGATGTCCAGCACCCTGGCTGGAGTGTTGACTGTCCAGTTTAGTCCAGAATTGATTTTTTAGGCCATCACCAACACTAATTAAGCAAGGGAATAGGTACGGATCAATGGTCGTGCTACGCACTCGGGATTTTGTTACGTGGCAAATTGACTCGACGTAGGTACTTCTAAGTAAAACATTTGACGAAAACGTGAAAATTTAATCGGCTATTTTTGTGCACTTGGGATATTACTGTTGAAAACAATTAGCTGTAGTTGAAAATAGTTTACTGCAGCTGAGTCTTAAACTTGGATTCTGTAGGCTGCAGGCCATTTCAGTTCGAGTTTTCATAGTCAATCGGTTCTGAGTACTGAGTTAAGGGCTCAGTCAACGACAAAGAAGGGAGGATAGCCCAACACATCCAACTTCGCACTTACCGGGTAACATAAAATGGTAAACAAAGCCAATGAAATCTGCCCCAAAATATGGAGAGTCGGTGAAACCGTCGCGGGCCGTTCGGGTCGTCGGCTCCAGCTGTAGAGATGCTGCAGGTAGTGCAGAACATGCTTAGTAGCCATCCACCTAAATAAGTGTCAGAAAAGTTGGGACCCTTGTCTAGGTTCATTTAACTAAACAAAAAGTAAATGTTTGGAACAAGAATTCTAACACGACTTCAGGCACTCAGGTGTTCTGAAAATTGACAACAAGAAGTGGAACCAAAATGTTCTCTGAACTTTCCAAAAAAAAACCATATGTGGGGGTGCGCAACATACCGCCATTTTGAATTTTAGATCCTTTGTTAGTTTTTCTTCAATAACTCGAAAAGTATAAGCTTTTTCGTAACCACTTATATTTACAAAATGGAAGCTCATTAAATTTCCTACAAAAAATATACAAACAGTTTTTTAGCATTAATCATTTGGACAATATACAGTTCTACTGCAATTCTTGGCCGGACAACGAAAATGGAGAGAAGTCCACGAAATTAGTTGTGTACATACTATGATGAGTTAAGGAACAAAATTGTCGAACAGTTTTTTAAAATAACTTTTCAAACAAAAGTTATACTCATTTGAAGATTGGGCCTTCGGGTTACAAAGTGACCCCCGCCTACTAGCGAGTGATCTAATTTCGCATGTAGTGAATTGCAAATGTCGCAAATAACAAAAAAATAACGATAACCTCTATCAACCCCCCCCCCCCCCCCCCCCCCTATGTCTACTTTCAAAAGATAAAATATCTTCTGAAGGGCGCCTAATTTTTTGCAATCAAAATCTCTTTATAAACAAATAAAGATCTAGTTGTCACATTAATTAATTTGAATATTGTTACTTTGGCTTCCGTATTTTTATTTTTGTTCGTGTTGCGATGTATTCAACTGAAGAAAAAGTTGATAATTGAAATAGTGTCGGTAACAGGTTAAGGAGCGTGAGAGATTTCTTTACTGTTAAGTCAAATCAACAATATTCAAACTAATTAATATGACAGACAGATATTTACTTGTTTTAAAAAGTTAGTTTGGATGCCTAAAATTAGGTATAGGGAAAAACAATATACATAAATCCCTATGTCTACTTCTAAATAGATAGTACTTTTATATATCTTCCCAAATGACGCCCACTTAGCCTAATTTTATTTAATTCCTACATAAGGGCTTAGTGTAAAGAATAGAATAGTGAGACAACCTCCATGTACGTTTTGGAAACCGCATATTTAAGAGTTAT